TACAGGCCAAAACGCTTAATGAAATGAAAACAAAAAAAAAACTCCAGAAAATCCAACCCCTTACCCTTTCATGTATCATTTTTCACGAAAAAGGTACCCCTTTCGTATTCCTTTTATCTGTTGCAAATGGTTCCACTTCCACATACCCTGTTTAGAACTTTGTATCCCTTTTGACTGCTGTAAATCATAGTTAGTCTCCTCTAATAACTATGTGTAAATGTACTGTTTTTTTTTACATAGAAATCAATCTCAAAAATAGCCTGTACATAGAAGTTGTTTTATTTTTCTTTTCGTTCCTACCCCCTTGCACTGGCGGTCAATAAATTCCCTGCGTTTTATATTTTATCACCCACTCTCGACGGACTTTGCAGAGGAAATAGAGGGTCTGTGAACAGGCTATCTCAAAAACAGAACGTTCTCTCGACTTCTCAAAGTCATATCATTCATCTATTAGCCCTATTGGCCCGTTTAACAGACCCAAATGACAGATTTTCCCACCCTTTAATATACTTCAACTAGTGAAATCACTACCCTTTTTTATACAGCTATTTCTAGAAAGGTTGTCTGAAAAAATGTGCACGCGACAATCCCGAAGGGTAATACGGGATATGATCAATACACTGTTCCTGACACTGTAGCTGTCGAACCTACTTTTGTTACTTTCCTTTAGCACTCGCAGACATATATGAGTGATGCCATAAACAACAAGTTTACTCCGCTACGAGACGATACCCATCCTCTCCCCTGAGTTATTTCGAATACTTTTCCCTTTGTCTTTAAAACGCGCATCTTCCATATACATGCTAAGAAGCTGTTTTAATTATTGAAAGGCCGGGAATAAAATGTATAAAAAATTTCAATAATTGAAGTAACTGTTAGTTTCCCTGAAAGCAGAAATACGTATTATCAAGTGAGAATAACGGGACAGAGAGGGTAAGGCCCTGCAGTCAGTTCAGCCGACCCGGCTTTGAAAAAATATGAGAATCATTGCACCAAACGTCTATTTTATGCCAATTAAACGCTGATGGTAGAATGCAGCAGTTGTCTACAGAGAAAATGTTTAATTCCCTTACAGCTCTACCACCGTTCATTTCAGTATCGCTTTTAGGTCTCGGACCGCGCTGCCGCTCTATCTTAAGTTCTTTAAAACGCCTTTTGACAGTTTATAAAGGAAAGAAACAACCGTGAAATCATTGAACGTAACAACCAAGGCAAGACTTAACCCATAGAAAATAATCGTAATGAAAACTATCCTTAACACTAATATCAATATTTAATCCTCAGAATGCTGGAAATTTCGCTTCTGAGAATTTGTTTTTCAATTTTTGTGAACGGAAGCATGTCCCGAGACTGACTCCCTTAATTACAGGAGACCCTACATCCCCCTCACTACTGCCTTTGTCAAATAGCCAGGCTAATCATGTACTTATTGGATAAATAAATTATTAACATCCCCGAGGTCTACCATGTAAAATCACATGTATTTCCAGATAAAAAGGGCTCTTTACAATATGTAACATACCATCATTAAAAATTTTTATAGGTTATAGCATTATTTGCAGTTGGCATGAATACCACGACTGATAATTCGAAATGGTCATAAGAGACAATTTTTTGAAATATCATGAGTGGTATTTATGCCAAATATCATGTACAAAATCATGCTATTAATTCTTTATAGTACTACCCGAAAAAGGTGTGTAATTTTCACATGTAGGTATTTCAAAAAAAGAAAAAAAGCTGCATGAAAATACCACTGCTCTAAGCCAATCAAATTGCAAATTTCTCATGTCGTAGTGTAATGGGAAGTAATACAGCAAATGACGTGAACACATAATTTCAATAACCTTGTCCAAAAAGCAATATTAAAAAAGAAAAGAGAAAACTAGGAGTAAATTGAAGTATGATTGATTCCCGAGAGCAAACTGAATATAGTTGGGTGTTTATTCGGAGGTATCATCTCTTGCATTTTGACATTTTTATTCTTATTTAAAGATGGATATTAATTTTCCAGTTTTCGCTAAACCAAGTGACGAAAATATCCAGACCTCAATTGTGTACTCATGTAACTTTTATCCACAGAATTCTTTTAATTTTATTCGTTGTCATGGTCGTCTGTACTTTTAATCGTGGTCGAAGAGAGTTCGGGATTGACTGCAGAAACTACTCGTGCAACTCCGGAAAAGTTTGAAAATATTTGGATAGACCTAGTTAAGACGGGGAGGAGGAGATCAGATAATTGCTGTATTCGCAGGTTACTAGAATAAACTTGTTCATGGTAGTGAAACTTGGACTAAGGTGCTCAGGACGGAACGTCCATTTTAAACCCATTCATTACAAACCGTAGGCTCGAATCCCGAAACACTTAGTTTGGATTCGAGTTCGAACTCGAGTTCATTATGAGCACATTAGGGCCATTTATACGAGGAAAAATAAGACGCGAACTTTCCGTATAAACGGCAAGACGCGTCTTATTAGAGAAGACATGCTGGTATAAATGATACAGTTCGCGTCTTATTTAAGACGCGTCTTATTTTTCCTCGTATAAATGGCCCTATTGTTCAGGTGGTGAGATTGTCGTATTACAATTTTTTTTTTTGTAACTGTTCGGCACAATTTTATGATATTTTTTAAAATATATACTGCTGTTAAACCCCGCATATTGTTGGAGAGTGTTAATATAAATGACTTTGTTAACAGATGGAAAAAAATGACTGTCTGTGATAAATAATGCTATTTAGTATATACTACTAGCCACCTCCACTTCGGTGAATAATTTTTATTTATTACCTCTCAATTGTATTATCAACTTCACCCTTACTGGTTTTTTTATTTTAATATTTCAAATAAATTATTGGGGTGGTGATTTTCTGTTTTTTTTTCAGACTGCAGATCGTTTTTCCAACAAAGACAATGAACTGCAATGGACAGTTTGTGTGAGCCTGTATGTACGAGAGACTGGTCGTCTGAAAGACCCGGGGGGTACTTCCTGCAATGGCCTATATGGGGACAGCTGCGGGGAGCCTCCGCCCGAAAGGGGTACCTTTTTCGTGAAAAATGGTATATATATATAAAAGGGGGTTGCACCTCGGGGAGGAGTCTCACCGAATAAAAAGTTATTGAGTACCCCCTCTGGTAAAAGATCTCTCAAGCGTCAAGTCATGTCTGCACTAATTAACCAATTATTTCACTGATATTGGTATGAATTGTTCATCACGGCGGCTTTGTGTTAATTGTGAGTGGATTGGAGGAGACTTTGCCAGACTGCTTGCAGCATATAGTTTTGTACAATGTGTCTTTTTTTATCCTTATCAGATTATTTTTTTCTTTTCCATTTTTTTGTGTTGTATGTCATTTCCGCCTCTCCCTTTCAAAACATTTTTATTGCGACATTCCCCATCTATATAATATTGTGATCCCTATCATAAAATTAATTCAGTAACATCTGCAAACCCGACGAAGGCTGGTATGACCAGCCGAAATATTGTTATGTAAAAACAATACACGTTGTTATGATTAGCTTTGCAGTAGTCTTTGGACTTCTCTCTTTTTGGTTCTTAATATTTTGGCTGATTAGATCTCTTTTCTAGAGCTAGATCCAACGTTTATAACCAGCAGGATCTTCGTGTTTTTGCAGTTATTTTAATTCCTTCATACAATGTAAATTATGAAGGAATTATATATATTTAGTGCTAAAAGCCCCCAATAGAGATAGGTACTAGGGGTGGTAGTTACCTACGAACAGGCCCCTGGTAGTTCTTTTATGTCCCACAGAGTCAAATTATGTGAAAGTACTGTGAGACGGGACCTTTCACCCCTTATCTAGAGGGTCTCAGTGGGGTTTGTCATCAACCGTCAGAAGGCTTAAAAATTCAGTTACCCCAACCGTCAAAAAAGGTTATTTTATAACATAGCGCGCGTGCTTGCCCTATATAAGTCCTATTGAGCCGCTATGAACAAAATCTTTATTTACGCACGCCCGTGCGTAAATAAGATGACGTGAGCATATTTTTTTTACCTGGCTGCAAAGTTGTCGTCTTTTAAGCTGTAGTGCACTTTTCCTTCTCTTTAAAATATGGAAGAAACCAGCGAAGAACTGCCCAATTTTTCTATCGGCATTGACCTTTTAGGTCCTGATCCAACAAGCAGCAAAAATAAAGCCGAATTAAAAAAAAAAAACTCGCAAGTTGCTCGGCGTTCGCAAATTTGTCGAAGACCAGCTGCAGCAAATTTTGGCCGAAAGACATTCACTGGGAACAGAACAGACACCAACTGGTCATCAACAACATTTAAAGGCAAAATTTCCGTTTTTATTGTTGTTTTTAAATTTGTTATGCACTTTTGTTATCTCCGGACAATCCGACTGAAGCAGGAAAATTTCTACAGTTCGCAATAACAACACAAATTACACAAGAAGACATAAATTTATTACTCACAAAAACAACTGCTGCCAGGCCGGTCTCCTCAAGAAGCCGTGATGACCAGCCAATGTTCGTAAATGAATATAAGTTTAAAGAAGGATGACAGTCGTCTTCGCCAGGAGGGAGGGGCCGTCTCTAGGGTAAACATTGGTTCACTGATCACTGCCAGTGTGACGTCACGTCATACATCGGTGATTTTCAAAATGGCGGGCAAATTTCTTTTTCGTTACGCTGCAAAGGATGTCAATTTTCTGAATGTTTGAATTCATCTTTTGCCTTCTTCAATAAGGCAGAGCTTTTGAAAAATAACATGGAAATATTCGCCATAAGGTTCAGTCGGAAAAAGTTTCAAAAGCATCACATGAGGCAAAGAAAGGTACCGCGAAGTGTCTGTAAATTGGCACAGTTTGTATGATCGTTTATCGCTTTCGGGCAACGTGCGAGGTGGTGTGGAAATATCCTGATCTCAGAATAGGAGGATTGGTTCATGATACATTGAGCTTAATGTACGCCGAGTTCCAGCGAGCCAAAGTGCGTAGTTCTTCTCATTAATCCCTTCAAAGTCGATGGAATGAAAAAATGTGGAGACGACATAAATGCAATCTGCTTACATCAAGTCACTACCTGCTGCAACAGGTTGGCAGTAGAGATCAGTGGTAAGTTTTGAAATTTACTCGTTTACTTCTAACAACAGGAGACTTATATGCATGTTTTGTGCATGGATCAACATCAGGAAAACGTAATTTTTTGAATGGCAAATAGATAGCGGTCCTAAAATACATGCAGGTTATAAAATCAGGGCGTACCCAATCGATGAAATCGATGATCGATGGGAATCGATGGCATTCGATGACAATCGATGCCAATTAATCGATTGATATTGATAATCGATGAACAATCGATCGTCCAGGTGTGTGTGATTATCGATTGTCATCGATTGGCATCGATTGTCATCGATTGCCGATATCAATCGATTAATTGGCATCGATTGTCATCGATTATCAATATCAATCGATTAATTGGCATCGATTTTTTACCAATTTTCATCTATTGGTTATTATTGTTGATAGGTTTTATTTTCAGTCAAGATTTCCAAAGGCACAGTCTCTTGATGCATTTTAATGACGAAAACAATGACATCGTGGAGGACATTGGCAGAAGATCGAGTTTTTTTTACAACTTGACAGATAATCAGCTTAACTCTGCTTAACTGAATAAAGTTGTCTTTTCGCATTTCCCGTCCTTTCCTCTGGTTTGTGCTCGATGAAAGTTACAACAATCTGATTTTATTAAAAAAAAACCAATAAACTTGAACTTTGAACCCCAAACAACTAGCACATAACGTGAAAACACTTACAGTTTACTTACAGAGGCGATTTTTGTGTTGTCGTGGTTTCGGTTGCGATTTTTGGTCATTGTTGTCTCGGTCGCGCTGCAACTCAAATTCTACCTGTTATCACAAGGCGTTGTGACCTTACGACGAAAACGAAATCATCTTTTTTTGTAAGACGTGTTTACGCATTTACCACGTTTCGTAGACATTCTAGCTAGTGATAAAAATCAACTCGTTGCAGCACGATCGCGAGAAAATACGCAGTGGAAATCGCGACATAAATTGCACCAAAATCGCCTGTGTAAACGGGCCGTATAAATTTTGAACGGGGTGGCCAAAAGTGTCAACTGTTTGCAACTTTGAAGTCCAGTTTACAGGAATTCACTTTCAAACTATAACGATATTAATAGTTTTATAACGCAACCATTGCGTAGTTAAAATTGTCAAATGGACCAAATGTCGTACGAAATAACTTCGTTTTGATGTGATACATTGAAGTAATCTTTTTGATCAGAGAAAATATTAAACCCCAATCGATGACAATCGATGATTCATGAACACTTTTGTGTGATTATCGATTGGTCATCGATTGGCCGATACCAATCGATGCCAATTAACTGACATGCATCGATTGGCATCGATTGATCGATTGCTTTTCCGATCATCGATTTTCATCGATTGGGTACGCCCTGTAAAATTAATGTTCAGGCTCTACAAACGGCTCTCCATATATTAATGCTAGAGGGATAACACTGCTAGGCTAGAATCTATGGGCAATTGCATTGTACAATATTAACTGCAATATTCCATTAAATAATTTTTGATCAGGGGTGCAAGGAATCTCTGTTGTCAAAGTACAAAATATTAAAATCAACAAATTAATACTAATTATTTTTAATTTAAGAACACTATAATTATGATAGTGTTGAAGTTTATGTACACAAACAGAAATAGATTTGATACATCTTTTATGAAGGTTACTGTTTTATGCACTTATTGAAACTAATCTGTGCAACCATCAATCCCAATTGTTCAGGAAGTACTGTTTCCCCAAATTTTAAAGTGGAAAAATCAATTTCAAGCTTTTTGTAAGAGCCATTCGGGGGCAGCCAGTGAGGAATAACACGACATGGTATGAATGGTATACCTTCCTGAATGGCCACCCAAAGACGATGGTTTCCTTCAGTGATATAGGCTCTTCCAGTTGTAAGATCACATGATATTAAAAACCATTTTTCAAAATGAAACGTCTTACTTGTTCAAGATGATCGTGATTATTGCCAGCTTTTGGCATGAGAGATCTGTCAAATTCCCTATATTCCCAAAGATCTTGTGTTTTGACCATTTGAAATTCATGCGAATAATCAAATGCATCAGAAATGTAAGATTTGGTCTGCATTGCATGTTTTTCACTTTCTGTGGGTTCATCAAGTGTCACAAAGGACATATCTGTATCAATTAATGGTCGAAATGCTTTTGCAAAATCATCGTCACTACTGTCACTGTCAATTTCTGTAGTCATGCTTTTAATCAACTCTTTAAATGATTTACACTTTGACTCTTTTTTGCCACCTTTAATGTCTGAAGTTGTTTCTGTTCTTCCAACTTTTTGTTTTTTTTGGTGGGTGCCTCTCAGGTTTGTAACCTTGCTTAGTAGGTGTGGAAGAATGCTTCGGACTACCTCATAACCTTTTTTGTGACATTTGCTTGCTATCATGCAGCTCCACTTTATCACTAGAGGGTTATATATATCTCATACCTTTAGGGTGGGGCTTTTGCTTATTTTTGGTAAGTTTTCCTTGCTTTGCAAATTCCTCCTCCTGTTTCTTCAGTGAGGTTAAAGTGTCAGTAAGTAGAGCATAGAGAACAGAATTTTCAACAAGCCAATGATTTTCAATGGCAATATCCATTAGTTTAGCAAGATCAGATGATTTGGGTTGAAAATTTTTTGGTGCTTTCACATTTTTTGTTTCTCTTTTAGGTACAAACTGTAATATCGTTTTGCTTTTTTTTGGCTTTGAGCAACCACTTTGTGTAGATTTTTTGCTCTGGCTATGAGTTCAGCACGTGAAAGAGTACCGAGTTTAGTGTGTGAATCATAGGCTGTTTTGGATTCAAATGATTCAGATGAAAGATTTGTTTTCCAACGAAAGCAAGATCGTAAAATATCTTGACATTTGTGGCATCTGGTTTTTGAATGGACAGGTAGTTTGTAGGTGCAATTTAAGCTCCTAATGCACTTGACAATCTCTCCATCTACATTTGCTCCTTTTTCATCCACAAAGTATAAATTTGTTTCCCTTTTCCTTTCAGCCATATGAACAAGGGCTGGATCATATATACCTGGACAAACCGGTAAGTTTTCAATAGTTTTAAGCATGACACCCAAAGCAGAGTTTAATATGTTTTCTTGAAAAATATTGTGTGGGAGTTCCCCATGGTCAATTTTGTTACCCAAGAATTCTACTGTAAATGGACTAAAATCCTTTGAAGGAAATGTTTTTATTTCAGAAGGAAGAAAAAGGGTTAACTCCTTCCACTTCGTTATTACACCACCTTTTCTGATATTTGGAAGAGAAAAAGTAACCTTCATGGTATTATCTGTAGTGTGCGGAGTAAATGACACTGTCCATGGAAAAATACATGAAACAGTTTTTCAAACAATTATTGTTTGAAAAACTGTATAAACTGGCAGAGGTGATGACTGTACTTCACTGTCATTTCCTGCATCTACTGGTTCTTTTGGAGCAGTTTGTGTCATTATTTCATTCAACACATCTGTAAAAATACCTGCTTTACAGTTTAAAGCATCAGACACAGCAAATTCTCTATCCAAGACCATTTTTTCTGATAGCATAATGGCTTGTCCTTTAGTTGGATTAATAGTTGTTTCTTCAAAAAACTCATGCTTGTTGCTGCCATTATCTGTCGTTTTTGTGGAAATTGAACAACCTTGTTTTTGGTAGAACATGTTTTAAGCTTCTTTGTACTCATGCTCTATTTTAATGGATTTTAAATAGAAAGGCTGACATGACATGCATATGTAGTCTGGAAAAGTTCCATCACAAGGATCTACACTATACAAGTCATTATGTAAATCAGTCTTATTGCCAGTTCTTTCATCCAAAAAATGATCCACTGAAAACATATTTTTAAAAATATTTATGTGGTGTTTCTTGCAGGGAACATCACTACTCAGGCAAACCTTGTTGCCACATTGTGAACAAGACACTATACATGGTGTAACTTTCAGGATGCCCAGCTGGGCATCGCTGCGTGATCTAGTGGAGCTTTTCCCCTTAGGAGGCTTATGCCCTCTTGCTGATAAACTGCCGTAATGTTTATCACATACCCTAAGATCTTTGAGATTTTCAGGTGTAACATCATCAGGGGCACATTTCAGTTCATACCGCCCAACCATACTATCAAATTTTCTTGATCCCGCCTCATTCTCACATCCCTTCAGACAGCATTGTACACCTCCCATCAATCGCCCATGCATAAAAACTGTTCCTCTTATTTCTTCCAAAAGTAAAAAATCAAATAAAGGCTTTCCACAGCATGACAACCAGTACAAATCACTTGTTATTCTGAATTTACACCAAATGAGAGATATAAAATTGGAAAAAGGAGTGGCATTTCTGTACAGGATCTGGAACTGACATCAAAGGTCTCCCCAAATATAATAATAGTCACAACATATAAACCCACAAAGAATGAAAATGGGAGTGCAGAAATTATCAGCAAAAAAGCAGCAGTTGCCAAGTAAACAGGATATTGAAGTTCACAGTTTAAAGAACAATTTTTTGTAATACCAAGGTTCAATAAAAAGCCATGAGAAACAAAAAGGCACACGGTCATTAGACTACCCTGCGAACAGTTGAATTGGGGCTTTACATGTAACAAAATTTTGTAAACTGGATCAAGCAAAGATAGAAATAATTTCAAGGTAATAACAGCAGGGAATAGAAGCATTTCTAACAAACAATTTAAAGTTGATCTATACTTCGCTAAAAACATGTTTTCTGGATTTCGCCGAGCAAAACGTAAACATCTTTTCAGCAAATCCAAACCATACTCCACGACTTCTTATGAACATGTTAGTTTTAACTTTAGGTGAACTTTAAGACTCTTTAACCTTTGTTTCTGCTTAGTTTCCATTGATCGTTAACGAATAAAGAAGCATGTTTTCTTTCTCACTTTTACAGAAAGAATAGTTTCATTCAAACTAGTACGATTGTGGCGTGTTCGTAATCAGCCAATAGAACCGTTTGTTATTGTGTCACGCGTTAAGAGAATTTTGCAGTTAATCAAAAAGCAAGCATTTTTGTGAGCTATGTTATAAAAGAATTTGCTCATGCTTTTAGCTGTGCGTATATCGAGTTATGGATGCACTTGGGAAGTTTGGAGAGCACACAAGAAGCTAGAGTTGCACTCGGCTATCGCCTCGTGCAACTCTTACGCATCTTTCGTGCTCTCCAAACTTCCCGCGTGCATCCATAACTCGATATACGCACGCTAAGCATGAACAAATTCTTAAATTTACTTTAACTTTTAATCTCAAAAACGATTCTTAATAATCGTCAACAGTCAAAAGTTTTTTTATTTTGGGAAGCAAGGGATGGGGAAGTGGCGAGAGTGCTCGCCTCCTAGCGCCTACCTGAATGTGGCCCGGGTCCAAATCCCGGTGTCGACGCCATATGTGGTTTAAGTTTGTTGTTGGTTCTCTACTTTGCTCCGAGAGGTTTTTCTCCGGGTACTCCGGTTTTCCCCTCTCCTCAAAAACCGATATTTTCAAATTTCAATTCGAGCAGGAATCAGGTAGACGAAGAACCACTTTGTGGATGTGCTATCTCCAAATCATTATTTATTTATTTTTTATTCAAAATTTGACTGTCACCCATCAAAATTGGTAAACATTAACCGTCAATCGTCAAAGCTACCACCCCATTGAGACACTCTGTTCCGTGAGGTACTCAAGGGACGTTTTGGTAGAGGCGTGCGGCCGAGGTGCGCCTTCAAACCTTGACCTTGGTTAAAGACAAAAATTGTTCATTTTGCAATCCTGTTTCAAAAAAAGAGACCCTGTTTTATGACCCTAATTCGTTCTTTTTTTGTATACAGAATCGAAATATTTTTCAAAATAACATGGAATTAGATAATTTGGAATAAAAATTGTTGGTAGCACATCCGTCCCATTCATTCTTTGGAAAGGCTTCCGGTCCAAAGAGACACTCTCTTCAAAAACGATAATTTATAAATTAATAGTGAAATTGTATACATTGTTTAAGACTCAAGATTGTGAAAGAAAACCATACCCTGTTCAGCGGTAGAAACCCACTTATAGGGCCAAATAAGGTCAGGCAGTGCCCCGCGTAGGGGATCTGCATGCATGTAAACGACATAACGAAGTTTCCATATTCCTTCAGGACGGATCCGGAAAAATCGACTCTAGCGTAAATGTAGCCTTTAGAGTAACGTTAATGTTTCACGTGTCATTGTTATTAACAAAATGAACAGTTGTAATTGATGTTAATGTAATGCAATATATAGGAGGATAAAGAAGTGTTCCATAAACTTTACGCGCGCAGGAAAACGTTCTATTTTGTCTTTATGACGTCGGGTTTTTTATCGTTCCACGTCGCTAAACAAGTTTAGTCCTTTTGCGCTTTCAAAAGAGAAAAGTTATTCTTGACAAAATGAAAATGTTTTTAGTCGACACAATTTTCCTCCTAACAATGTTAGGAACTTCCACTGCTTCGGGAAATGTCAGTGAGGAAGGTAAAACTTGGCTTATTTTCACATCTGCTTTCTTCGCGTTATTTTCCTTGGTGGCGAAAGCTTGTAGCAAATGTACAGGGCACGCGTGGAAATCGTTATTTTCCCAGAATAACTTTGCTTTTGCCCTTAAGTTATCAAACTACTGCGCCAACTGTTCATTCAAAAGTGTTAGAGCTTCTTTAATTTGTTTAGAATTGAATTTATCTTGTTGTCGTGAAATTTTCTCTTCTCGGCCTCAACCAGTTGTAAAAAAAACTGTTATTTGTTTGGATGATTTTGTTTCCTTGGTTACTTGTTTCTAAGGATCGGAAGCGATTCTCGTGCGCACAATCGAAGTACTACGACGCCAAGTTCCGTTACTTGCTTCCACAAAGTTTAAAAACACTTTACAAAGCTTCTTTAATAGCTTTATAGTAATCTAGTTGTAGCGGTGGGATTTTAAGGGTCAATTCAAGTATTAGCACATCTTTTCACGCGGTTTATACCTATCAGCCGCATTTCAGCGGTCTAAATGAATTTAAAATATTTATGCACTTTTAATTGCCATCAAATGCAGGAATCAACGTCGCTGAAGAACCGTTCCATCGACGCGTTACTGTTGTTGAAAACTTTGGAAGCAAGAGCGCTTTAATCGAAATCCGCCTGTCGTCGATTCATATGCTTGTCTCCGTGACGGTTAACTCAGTTAACGTACAACTTCCTCAGTTTCACAACAGCCTATTCGCCTGGAAAAACCTTTGCAAATGAAGTAAGTTAAGGCCATACTCGTTTTTTTCTCCGTTTAGCGTCGTCCGACCGACCCAAATTTTTGGCATTTTCCAAAAAAAAAAAACCAAGTAATGACGTAGTTAAACCATTTTTCAATTGGAATAATTCTTTTAATCTATCTGAAAAATGATCATAGTAACAGCATAGAGAAAAACAGGAACATTTTTTTTTCAGTAAATTGTACATTTTGTTAATCCAATTATGTGAATGTTAACTTTTAACGTCGTGCCAAGGTACCAGAGCCTCCTATTCGGAGACTTCTTGTGATTTTTTTCAGGTTTTTTTTTTTTCAATCCCACCGACCGACCGACCCAATATCAGGAAATGCATTCGACGCTAAACGAAAAAAAAGGGGAATGGCCTTATAGCAAAGTAAAGAAATGCAATGTAAAAACAAAATTAAACGGTGCTAGTGTTTCACAACGTAAACGACGGCTTTTAAAAAAGTTAAAAGAGACCTTGAGTTTTGATAGAATACTAGCGTTCGTTCCGAGACTGACTTCCTATTTGAAGGGCCAGAAGGGGAAACGCAAAAGGTAGGCTTTTTTGGGCTCATATAAGTCAACGACAGTTTGTGCTGAGAATATTGTGAAAACAGTGAGAAATAGTTTCGATAAAGCGATTTTAAAAATCATCCATGTTTCGTTGTCCGGAAATAAGACCACTTGTCCGGAAATGAGAAGAGTAAAATGAGTTTTTGATGGCATTAATTTCTTTCAGGCGATAAATATAACGTCATTATGTATCTGGCCCATGTTCAACGGAAATCACGAGCGGCCTGCTGCAGAGATTTCTCAAGGGGCGTAAACACACTAACCACGCGACAGACAACCCACGCGAACGACTTCGTAAACGCTAAAAGCCATGCAAGAGAGGGTAGCTCCTCCCTCAAAAGGAGAATTCTTGTTATTTGGCTTAGAGTATATTTAACAATTATTATTATTCCTCTCGCCCTCATGGCCTCTGAGTAATAATTGTTTTAGTGAAATCCAACTAGTTGGTCAAAAATATCGAGACAAAACAACTTTAGCTAGTTAAGGCTAGACTTTAATACTTTTTTGCCGCCAAAATGCCGGCGCTTTTCGCTACTAGTGGGCTATAACATATAGCCTAGTAGTAGCTCAACCAATCAGAATGCAGCATTGATTTTACTAATACATATTATTATTTATTAATCGTACATAAACGGAGGATTCGCTTTTAGCCCTGGCTAAAATTTTAATATACTATTTGACCCTCAGCCAATCAGAGCAGAGTACAATTTCCTGCAAATGAATATCACCGGTGGATGGCAAAATGTTAAAAGACGGTGGTTCAGCCAATCCTCATCTTTGAGTTCAGCTAGCAAAGGAAGGACACATTTGAATAATTTTTGTGAGAAGGAAAGCTAAAAAGGACAGGAGTCTAAAGCGCTGTCAAATTTACCGGTAGCAGATAAAGGTTCCGAGGAAATGTACTTCTAAGGAGTAACGTTTAAATCCTTAAGAAAAACTTCCTTATGCCAGCTTTGGATCCCAAGCGAGTACAGCAAAAGGGTATTTATTTCCTAATACTGGACCAACTGGTGAATCTCTAAATGCACTGTAAAAGAGAATTTAGGTATAATCAGATTCTTTTTTTTTTTGTCCTTTGGCGAGGTGAGTAAAGAGGGAGAGAGGTCAGGCTTGGAGGGATTTTTGTGTCATTTTAGTCTCTCCTTGTTCTGCTGATTCTAACCAAGGTAGGTTTTAGATGGCAAGCGTTTTTAAGTTCTGGTTTTTCTCTTCTGATGTGTGCATGCTCTTTCATT